AATCATGGAACGCTACATCAAAAACTAATGATGTACTTATATGGTGACTAACATAACATAATAAATAAAATAAAATAAAAAATGAGAAGCCTTCCCTGAGAACAGGTCCTTCTTTCTCAATGTGGCTGACTAAAATAGGCCAGCAAGACTGAGGGCTAGCCCCAGGGCCCTGAGGAATTCAGCAAGGTAATAAAATGTTACTTCCAAAAAAGTAACCTCTTGGGTGAGGACACCAGTGGCATCCCTTCACTGGCCAAGAAAACTCAAGCCCATCTTGGTTGTTCCTATATTTTACAGAGGTAAAGTAATAACATGAGAAACAAAGTATAGGTCGGCAAAATGGCCAACCACAAATTCTCCAAGAGCTGAGCTCTAAAGGACTGTATCTATTGTCCTTCACTTTTCTTTAGCTCCTGACTATTTATTTCATGGACATGACTGACTGCCTCCCTGGCATCCATTCCCTACATCTTCTTCCTAACAGAACTCCAACTGGGCTCTGCTGTCTACCTCTCCTCCCTTGAGGACATAGGCCTTAGAGGAAATTGGCTCCACCCTCAGCTCCTGGGGTGCTCTGATTTGCCTCAGTCTATTTCCATCCCCAGAGCTCAAGAAAGAGCAAGAGCCCTGATGTCATCAATGAGACACAGGAGTTGGTTTTCTTTTAAGGTTTCTACCGAAGCATTATACACATACAGAAAAGTGCATGTATCATGTGTATAGCTTGACAGACGTTCACAAACTGCATATGCCTGTGTGACCAGCACCCAGATCAAGAAGCAAAATATCACCTGCAGCCAGAAAGCCCTTTTCTGCCCTCTTCCGTTCACTATTCCCTCAAGGGTAACCACTGTCCTGACTTCTAACAGTACAGGGTCATTTTGCCTGTTTTATACTTCTTTTTATATAAGTAGAATCAAACAGTATATATGCCATGTCTGGCTTCTTTTGCTCACATTATGTGTGTGTGAGACTCACTTTTATTGTGTAGAGTTGTAAGTTGCTTACTTTCATTGCTCTATAATATTCTAAGATGGAATAAGCCAAATTTATCCATTCTACTGTTGATGAGTATTTGGCTGGTTTCTGGTTTAGGAGTATAGCAAATTGTGCTGCTATGAACATTTTAGTCCTTGTCTATTGAGGACACATATATGCACTTCTGTAGGGTAAATACTTAAGAAGGACTGCTGGACTGAAGGGAATGTATACGTTCAACTTTAGGAGATACAGCCAAACGGCCTTCCACAGTCCCAGAAGGGACTGGACCGATTTTCCCTCCCATCTGCAGTGTATGAAAGTTCCATGTCCTTGTCAACACATGTCTGTCTTCTTCACTGTTACCATTTTGGTGGGGGTATAGATGAGATTCAAGGAGTTTTGCTGCAGGCTTCAAGTTATCTCTTCTCATTTAGAGGAAGCCAGCCCGTTCTCCCCATGGATGTGAATGAGAAGCATTAGCTGAAATGATTACTAGTAGCCAATTGAGGCCAATTGTCATCAAGTTAAAATGGAAGGACTTGATGACATCATTAAGCTGCTGGATCAACAAACAACTCAATCCATTACCTCCCAGCTGCTTTGCTTTTTCTGTTGTCTGTATTGGAAAGCATCTTCCGTGTTATTTTCAAAAGCACTTGAGCCTACCACATCCTTGCTTCATTTTTCTGATGTGGAAACTGATCACCAGTGAAATATAATGGTTACCCAAAGGCCTGGGAGTTAGCAAAGGGTAGAGTTCAGACCCAGCCTACTGCTCTGCCGCCTACATCGTGCCAGCACCCCCTTCCCAGCAGGCAGTACCACTGTCATCTCTCAGTTTGTGCAGGTGACTGCAAGTCCTTTGATCGCATAGCTGCCATTTGTCAATGATGCCAAATTATGTAGCCAATATGCTAACAGCCATGCCAGTTAACAGAGGGACCAACCATCTTATGCAAGTGGGGATTAGCAGCTGTCTCCTTGCTGCATCCTGTTCCGAGGAAACTATCAGCCACATGGGGCAAGGCCCTGGTCCTCCAAGGGAAAAAGGACTGGTGCTTTTTAGTCATAAATCACTAATGAGGACACGAAGACAGTGAGAAAAGCAGGAGCAAAAAGTAGAGTAGCAAATGCGTCTTCCAGCTAGGCAGATGCAGGAGCTGTAACTATCAGCTTCCCAACTTGGAAACCCAAGAATCTTTCGCCTAGTTTTGTAAAGGGACAACCCATTGATATAAAAATTCAATGGAGCAATGGAAGGCAGTTCAGTGACCTAAAACATCTCCTCACTATAAACCAGTCTTTGTGATTCAGCCTAACTGCTCTGCCAACACACAATATTATAAAGCATTCTGCAGCTGACTTGTCCACATGTCCGTGGGGCAGACAGAATTCATCACTTTCGCCTTCCAACCATGGTAAATTCATGGTCTTCAAGATCCAGATCAACTAGTGGAGTTGCCCCTGGACCCTAGATTCAGATGCTTGCTGCAGGACCAGCAGCCAAACTGCTCATGTCACTCCCCCACACTTAAAACCCTTCAATGCTTTCACATTGGAATTCTAATGAAATTCATACTTCTTGGTCTAGCGTTCAAGGCTCTATATGACCTGGCCCTGCCTATTTCTCTGACCATGCTGGTCTTCTTCCTATTCCTTGAACATCAGTAGTCCCCCCCCACCGCCCTTACCCGTGGTTTTGCCTTCCATGGCCGCTTCAGTTACCTGCAGGCCAGAAGCAATATAATCCTCCTTCTGATAGATGGCCAGCAGGTCAAGCTCCATGCTCAGCAGGGAGTCTGCTTGAAGATTCTCTCCCTCTGCCCCTCCCCCTACTTGCGTGTGTGTGCATGCACACGTTCTCTCTCTCTCTCTCTCAAATAAATAAATAAATAAATCTTTAAAAAAAAAAAAGAAGGGTGAGTACGGTACAGTAAGATATTTTGAGAGAGACCACATTCACACAACCTTGATTATATTATTATACTTGTTCTATTTTATTATTAGTTGTTGTCAATCTCTTACTGTGCCTAATTTACAAATTAAATTTTATCATAGGTATGTATAGGAAAAACCATAATATATCTAGGATTCAGTATTATCTGTGGTTTCAGGCATCCCCTGGGGGCCTTAGAACACAACCCCTGCAGCAAAGGAAGACCATGTACCATGTTTTTATAGCCTCGGGGACTTTGTGATTGTACTTCCTCTTCTGGAACTTTCCCCCCAGCTCGTTGGCTAGTGAGCAAGTCATTCTTCATTCTTAGTCAAATGTCACCTTATCCAAGAGCCTTCTCTGACCAGTTTCTCTGAAGTAGCACCTCTATCGCTCTTTATCATGGCACCTGGTTTATTATCTTCCGAGTGCTCACTGTGACATGTAATCAGTTGTTTATTGCCTATAAGCTCCACAACATCAGGGACCCTGTATCTCCAGCCCCTAGAATGGCAGGAGGAACATAGGAGATCCTCAATGACTATTGGTTGGATAAATGGGTGAATGAATAAAGGATGATCCAGTTGTGGATTATCCAGTGGTGTGGCTTTGTTCTCTTCTCTGCTACCTGAAGTAAGACCATTTAGCTATTCACTAGATCCTTTGCCAAAGAAATGTTCCCAAGAAAATAAAATACAGAGAAAAAAAAATAGAGTGGGGAGAGGTTAGGGGGAAAGGAGACTGGAATATACATTAAACATAAGATTTAAAACTATCTGTGTTTTGTTTGTTTTTACCATACTGTCAGGTGTCCTGGGGGGCTGCATGAGGCAGACTGTGAGTCCTATCCAGAGCCACACAACAGGATCTTGGGATCACATATATTTTTAAATGAGCTTTTCCATTTTTTGTGACAAATTTTGTGACCAATATATTGGTCAGCCCCTGGGAAGCCACTGGCCTTTTGAAAAGATCTGATGATAAGTGTGACATATGGTTTTCTGAGCACATATATGACTATTAGGGTACGCTGTATAAAAACGAGTATCCCCACTTCAGAGATAGCTGTGCAATCAACTGCCCATCCTTAAGCACACAGTGAATAGTAAGTACATCATCACTGTAATTTTTACCTTCCACAAACCTTCTGGTTCAAACTCCCCCTTTCACAGATGAGGAAGCTTGCAAAGAGAGTTAGCAGATAACTTTCTCAGGGTCACAGAGCTAGTGAGGAAAAAGATCAACCTCGGCCCCAGACTCCAGAGTCCAGATTGGGTCCTTGCACGATACTACACAGATTGGGTCCTTGCACGATACTACAACACATCAGCTAAGCCCAGCCATGAGCAAAGGAGGGGATTTCCCATCAGAATAGCGAAACACAGGAAGGTGCGAGAATCTGCAACCCCCACAGCTCTCACCTTGGCTACACCGAGAGGGTGACAGAGATGAACACAGACAAGCCCAACCCAACACTCGTCGGGGTGCGTACGGAACCGTGACCTCCCACAGCATCTTCACTCAGGTGCGACTCAGCCCAGAGGCCATCTGCCCCCAACGCTCAGGAGAACCCCAGCCTCAGAGATTTTCACCAAAGCTCAGGGGCCCGAGTACCTCAAAAGAGAGGCCCGGGCCCTCCCTGCCTGACCCTGGAGGGGTAGTGATCCTCTCCCCACACCAGTACACAGCAAGGCCTGAGCAAGACCGTGGGGGCGGTAGGCACGCGGGTGGGGGGTAGGAGGGGATGACAGGAAGCGAGGAAGAGGGGGAGGAGCAAAGCAGGGACGAATGCCCGTGGGTCCCCTTCTCCGGATTTCAGAATCTCGGCTCAGGTTTCTTGGGAATGGAAAACAGCGCTTCACCCCAGCTTCCCGACCCGCCGCGGCCAGAACCCGCAGACCAGCGCCCTCTCCGCCCCTCCCCGGGCTCGACACTAGCAGGGGGAAGGGGCGACCCAGGGGCGGGACCCCCGCCAGGCCGGCAGCGCACCGGGGTCGCGGGGTTGGACGGCGGGGGCGCCCCGAAGCCCCGGGTGTGCGCCCCTTCCCCGCAGCCCGGCCCGCCGGCGCCCGCCCGCCCCTACCTGTAGTAGCGGTCATCTTTGAAAGGCGTGAGGTCCTCCTTCAGCTCGCGGTACGCCTCCTGGAGCCGCTTGCACAGGTGCTTGAGCTCGCTGCAGAGCGGGGGCTCGAAGGCAGGGTACTCGGCGTCCATGCCCGCGCCGCGCCCGCGCTCCCGGCGCCGAGCCCGGCGTCCCCTCCTCCCGCCGCTCCGCCCTTTGTATTGCTTCCTTCGCCCCTCTCTCTTCCCAGCAACGGGGGTCGGGGCTGCCAGCGCACTGGGCGGGACCGAGAAGGAGGAGGAGCAGGTGGCGGGGGAAGTGGGGAGGGGGCGCGGAGGAAGGTGGGGCGGGGCGCGCTCAGGGCGCCGCCGCGAGACGCTGGGAGCCGGGCCTGCCGGGGTGCGGACGGGGTCCGCCCCCGAGCCGTGGGGGCCTAAGCAGCTGAGGGTGCCGCGCCCATCGGCCGCCGCCCAGGGAGAAGGAGCCGGGGCGTGGAAATCCAACACAAGGTCATCTGCTGCCCAGGACAAAAATATGAAGGGCCACCCTCGCTACAGCTCGTACTGGGAAAAGGAAGCAACCGGAGATGACAGGAAAAAAGGGAAAATGGGGCTTGGAGGCGGACTGAACAGGTCAAAGACTGGAGCCGGCTCCCACGTTCAGCACCATGGACAGCTCCAGACTGCTCTTTCCCGCCCCCCCACCCCCACCCCCGCCCTGGGTTCTACTTGGCCTAATGCAAAAACATTTAAAACCAAGCCCATTATGGTTATGTCATGAGAAATATTTTTTAACGATAAAGGAATGTGTCCAAATGAGATGACTCTTCCCACACGTTCTATAACCACGGGAGGAGGGGGGAAAGGGGGAAAGGCAAGGGAGTTTCTCATCCTCTACAAGCTCAACACTTGAGTATAAAATTAAAACTCACAAATCAACACGTCTTCCATGGGACTATCTATCTAAAGATGGTGATGGTGTCATCTCTGGTGAGTCTTTACAATAATAAGTGAAGAAACAATTGTTCCTCATGAGATCAGAGTGTTTCCACCTGAGTGCAAGGTTTCCATGCACTGTTGATCTTGTATGCATTGGGGGAAGCATTTTACAAACATACATTTGGGGGGCCCCACTTACACTATTGAATGTAAATTATAGAATACAGGTCCCAGGAATCTGTATTTTTCAAAGCTCCCCAGGTGAGTCTAATGATCACTCACTTTTACATATTCCCAGAATTCCCATGCTATACTCTAATTTCACCCACTCTTCCTTGCTCTTTTTTATCCCCATTTTTTTTTTTACATTTTTATTTTTAAGCAGTCTCTACTGAGTCAGCCAGGTGCCCCTATCCCCATGTTTTATTTCCTCCTCCTCCTCCTTACATTTTGGAACACATTTTTTATCTGCTAGCTAAGCTCTCTTGTGAAGTCTTGCAAATATCTCCATAAATTGTGATCATCCTGCACCCTGCACAGTTCAGTTTTACCCTTAATTCGTTAACATGAGTGTTTGTATTTAACAATCTCCAAAGGACAAAGAATGCAGCTCAGAACTGACTCTACCCAAAATACAGTGCAGAGAGGCATGCTAAGAAGAGCTTCAGAAAGCACACATGCTGATTTGTTTCCTGAAATGAGATAGAGACTGTGAGACCAGCATCTGCCACATTTCAAATATTTTCTGATTGGCTACAGAGAGCTTATCACTGGGGAAAACATTAATCAGCCTCAAAGATACACTGGAATGCTTAAAAAAAAAAAAAACCCTCTGGGAAGACTTTCTTTCTTTTTTTTTTTTTTAAAGATTTTATTTATTTATTTGAGAGAGAGAGAATGAGAGAGAGAGAGAGAGCACATGAGAGGGGGGAGGGTCAGAGGGTGAAGCAGACTCCCTGCTGAGCAGGGAGCCCGATACGGGACTCGATCCAGGGACTCCAGGATCATGACCTGAGCCGAAGGCAGTCACTTAACCAACTGAGCCACCCAGGCGCCCTGGGAAGACTTTCTAACTTCTCCAGCCTGAGCCTTTTTTCTCTTTGAACCACAATAGCTTCTAGAGGACAATGCAAGTTTTCCTGCTCCAAAATTGTGTGATACTAATCTTTTTTGTGATCTCTTTCACCATAAAAAGCTAGAAATTCTAGATAAAATATCACATGTCCACACCTGCATACATATATATATATTATACTATAATTACTTTTATATAATACATATTATATAAAAATATACTATATATAAATATATAATATATAAGTAAATATATAAATATACTATACATACATATAATATATATTAGTATATATAAATATACTATAATTACATACATATAATATACATATATTGTACTATAATTACTTTTCCTTTTCTTTTTTTTTTTTTTTGTATAATTAATTTACAGTGTTATATTTCAGATGTACAATATAATGATTCAACAATTCTATACATTGCTCATTGCGGGACTCGATCCCGGGACTCCAGGATCATGACCTGAGCCGAAGGCAGTCGCCCAACCAACTGAGCCACCCAGGCGCCCCACTTTTCCTTTTCTGTACATTTTATGTCCTCTAGAATTACCAAGGTCTTTTTTTATTCCTTAGTTGTCTATGTACTGATCATTAATTCAACCTCAGGTCCCCCCCACACACACACAAATTGCCTAACTCCCCTCTTAAGATATTCAGGCACAATGGTGCATTCTATCAATTTCATCTTTGTGAAATCTCTTCTTGGCCTTCTGACCAGCTCTGGACTGGTTGCCCTATGCCTGGTGCATGGCTATTATCCAAGCAGACTCTCCACCATCATCCTGGAGATCTTCTCACCTTATCTGTTTGGGTCCCATGTCTTTCTCTTTATTGATGGAGCATATCTTAGAAGTGCCTGGAAGTCCCATTGACATCACTGTCTCTGCATCCTATAGGTCAAAGCAGTATATAGGTCCAGCCCAGATTCAATGGAGTTACCATGACTCAACCCCTTGATAGCAGTGGCGTCATGCCCAAAAGAGAGGAGGGGAATTGTTTGGGGCTGTCTTTGAAGATTATCTTTTATTCCCATTTCAGCACAGTTCCCCTGCCCATGATTGTGGCCAGTGTGTCCCAGTCCAGACACCCTCTATTTTATAGCCCCAGGGAATCAACCTCTAGCTTCCTGACAGTGTTAGAGAGTGAAAATTGCTTAGTTGCACAGAGTGGAAAAAGATTGGAAGATTTAGCTGCTTCTTGGACTTCTGATCAATCCTTCTGTGTTTTTTTTTTAATTGAGGTACAACATACATAAAATGTGCAATTTTAAGTGTATAGATCATCCAAATTTCAAGTATGTATTCATCCATGTAACCACCACAACCATGAAGATATAGGACGCCCTAGAAAGCTCTGTCTTCCTTTATAGCCACTCCAATCCCAGTGGTAACCAGTATCCTGCCTTCTATCCCTATAAATATAGTCTGCCTGTTTTTTGAGTATTATATGAATAGAATGATACAGTTTGCATTCTTCTGTGTTTGGCTTTGTTTGCTGAATATTATGTCTTTGAAATTTCTTATGTTGTTTTCTATAGCAGTAGTTTTTTGTCTTGTTTTCATTTTTATTCTCTTGCTCTACAGCAGGCCATTGCTTGGATATAGGACAGTTTATTGGCTCTACTGCTGCCAGTTTTTGGTTATTATGAATATGAACATTCTTGTACATGTATTTGGGGTGAGTATATGCACTTATTTTACTTGGGTTTATACTTAGTAATGGAATCACTAGGTGATAGATTAGGCAGAGTTGGCTTTAGTAGATTGTTTTCCAAAATGGTTGCACCATTTTACATTCCTACCAGCAATGTCTGAGAATTCCAGTTGCTCCAAGTCCTCGCTAATCTGAATTTCATCTGTCTTTTATTTATGGTCTGTGGGAGTCCATTCTCCTGGGTTTTGCCCCATCTTTTCTCTCACCTCCAAAGAAGATGCTTGTGCTGCTGGTTCCTGAAACATTTGAGACATCTGTGGTGTGGATTGGGCTTTCCTCACTGCTGTTGAAGGACCTAGGTTTTGATATCTGTTCCTTTTTTCCTGTGATTTGCAAAATTTTGTTGCTATTATCTCCTCTTCCATTCTCCTTGTCTTTGTGGGTTTACAATTAAAAAAAAATCCCTTTATTGTTGTTTTACCAGCATTTCTAGGGTTTTCACGAGGTTTCAGCAGAAGTAATGTGTGTTCAATCCCCCACCTTCATTTTCGCCATGCCTTATTAACAACATTATTCTGGTGCTCACCTCAGATAGGCACTTAATAAATGTTTGTTGAATACCCTCAAGTTACCCCCCTTCTACGTTTTCACTCATCAGAAGGACCATTATCTTGTGATGCTCTTACATAACTGAGGGAAAAAAGCACGTTCGTTCAGTTGTGGCAAAGAACACAGGTTCAAATCAGAAAGACGAGTGACACTTTTTTAGCAATGTGAACTTGTGTTGAAAACTTAATATCTCTAAATTTTGGTTTCGTTTTTATTCTCTTGCTCTACAGCAGGCCATTGCTTGGATATAGGACAATTTATCAGTTCTACTGCTGCCAGTTTTTGGTTATTATGAATATGAACATTCTTGTACATGTATTTGGGTGTAAACAAGGATGTAAAACATCCCTTCACGTGTAAAACAAGGATGATGATACTGACTGACCCACGAATTTGTGGGAAGGATTATGTAGAGACCTTAATACAATGCCTGATCTATAGTAAGTGCTCATTAATGGTTAACTCCCCCAGGGGCATTTACATATTTCTTTTCCCAAGACTGAGGATATCAATGCTTTCTCATTTTATTTTATTTTTTTAAGATTTATTTTTTTATTTGAGAGAGGGAGAGAGAGAGAAAGAGAGTGAGAGAGCGCACAAACAGGACGGGGAGAGGGAGAGAATCCCAAGCAGACTCCATGCTGAGTGCGGAACCCAACGGCTCGATCTCAGGACCCTGAGATCACCACCTGAGCCCAAACCAAGAGTTGGATGCTTAACCAACTGAGCCACCCAGGTACCCCCATACTTTCTCATTTTAAAAACATATAGAGCACAGAGAAGCTTAGGCAGGAGAATGATATCCATCACTGGGAAATAATCACTGTTAACATTTTTTAAAACAGATTTTATTTATTTGAG